CTTGTTTTGGTGAATTTCTGAGTACAGTAAAAAAAAAGATAATGGACCGCCCATTAAATTAATTACAAAAAAAATATTGTTTTACATATACTGCCTTATTTTACATGAAGCTGCTTTTGAATTTCTGCTTCATTGAAGCGAGTTAACATTTCATCAATAAAATAAATAAATTAATTTTAATCAAATCATGCTTGAATGAACTTGTATACAAACATCAATTTAAACCAGCAGCCAGCCCTTAAGTGACATGACAACCGGTTAAATGGCCTGGAATTTTACATTCAGATATTTTGGAGGCAATTTCAATTTATTGTGGTGTTTCTGAAGTACACGATTGATAGCTATGTCTCGCTGAAAATATTGATGTAACTATCCATACTAATATCCATACCAATATTATAAATGTGAAAATTGAAGGTGTGTTTGTCCACTAAACCGATTTAGATGAAATTTTTGATGTAGAGAGAGTTTGAGTCTCGGGAAAGGACATAAGAGAGTTTTTATACCAGAAATCATCGTTTTAGTGGGTGAAAAGGCGGATGGAAATTCGTATGGGGAATCAATAACCGCTCAACCGATTCAGATGAAATTTAGTAATGAGCTAGTTTGATTCTTGAGGAAGGACTATTATAAATCTAAAAGTGACTTTGTTTGTTACTCTTTTACTCCTAAAATACTAAACGAATTTAAAAAAATCTGTCACCAATGGAGACCTATATTATCAGCAAGTAACAACATGGGCTACTTTTTATCGCGATAGCATACACGCGAACGGAGCCGTGGGCAAAAGCTAGCTTTTATATAAACTTTTTATCTCTATTATTATTTACATGATATGATATGTCTGTGTAAATTTGTTTAATTTTATATGTAGAACAAGTACTGCAGTCACTGCAATTTTATTTGTCTTAGTGTAATAATTAACGAAAAAAGATTTACTATATTGTTCTAGATTTTATATCTGTTTTATTTTGTTTTTACGGTTTTCGAAACCTATAGTAACGTATTAGAAGTGAGTATAGAATTTACGCCCACGACTTGCTGGATATTATAAGACATAATTGCGGGTTTATTTTTTTATTTAGTTTCGTCTATTTTCTTTTACTAAACTCCCTATTGACTATTATTTCAAAAGTGGAAATGCCATCCTTTGGTACATATGAGCTGGCTCGACCAGAGTAATACAAGTTGCCCACTAATCTCTCTCTCTCTCTCCCTACCTTTGTTCAAGCTGGTTCGACCGGAGTATTTTAACGACTTCATAGAATCGCTTCATTTGACCGAGTGAGTGATATTACTGGAGGCCCAATGCTTTCCCTCTAATTCTGGCAGGGTTATCCAAAGGGCTGGCAACTCACCTGTCTCTTAAATTGCAGGTGTTCATGCGATGGTAGTCCATTGCCATCAGTTGATCCGTCTATTCGTATTTCCCATATACCATAAAAAAATAACATTTGTAACGAAAAGTTTGTAGCAGCTAGATATTAATGCTTGCCATCTAAAATTGTTAATCTTTTTATTACAATCTCGCATTTTTTAAAGAAAAGAGGATCACTTGTCTATTCAGATCAACAAATTTATTTAAATTTAACACCGAGGCATAATATTTTAGTACGATTTTATATTCAGCACGGTATAGCGCCAAACAACAGGGCAAACAAAGAGATAAAAGCTTTTTAAATCTCCAAATTTATGGTTTGTTTGCACAAACGGAATAGTATTTGGTAAATCCTGGCATACCCGGACCGATATTATATTAATACGGCGGGCTAGAACATATTTTATGCGAATTCACGTGTTAGATCACAGTATCAGTATGTGTAACTACTGTAACATGGTTTTGGTACTTACTTTACATGCATTTTAATTTAAAAGGCAGGCTTATATATATATGTTCCTACTATGTGTACCTGTGTTCACGACAGCGCATATTAGGGAATTACTCTGTCGAAATGCGTTATCAGAGATGACGATATATTGGCAAAGACTAACTGTACCACCATGACTGTCGAAGAGCCTGTTCCCGTCCATCTACAGAAACCACACAGCTTAGTTCCTTTTACTTTAAACTCTAATGTAGATGGAAACAAGGCTACTAATCAAACAATAATGGGTCGCGCAGAAAATTTACAAATTTTGTATTTTGCACCATCATGACACGTGATTTGGACGTTTTGTGATGTTCAATCTAACATACAACGGACCGCGTGATCTGTGGTCTGAAAAGTTTTGTTTATAAACCAAATTTGTTCTACGTAAATGTATCATTTTTAAGTAGTAAAATAAAGAGTCGATAAAAACAGTTCATGCTAAATTTAAAAAATATAGAAATATGCTCGTATGTAGTAATACAAATTGAGTATTAGGTACAGAGTTTAGAGGTAAATCAATATTGAATACTAAGGACAATCACAACATTGAACAAGGAAATTGAACTTCTCGACTAAATTAACGATGTTTATATATTTAAGCCTATTACTATTTCATAAATTCAATTTGTTACATTCATGCATTTCTCGAAAGATTAAAATGACTGAATAAAGCTACCGAGTTGGAGCGCAGTATTTTCTGTAAATTGAAATATACTGCGGTCGAAATGCCGAGACAGCCGAACGTGGTGTTTACGAGAATAACAACCAAGAACCATTTGTTGTAATGTTTTATCTTTGAGACCTTTGTTCAGTTGAGGATTACATACTGTGTCTCTTGTTCACTTAACTTGTGCTCTAGATACACAACCAAAATTATCTAATATTAAATTAATACAATTTTTGTTTTTATTTATCTTTATATACCTATTTATAAAACGTTAAGTTGGTTTATGTACGCTTCAAAAACTTCTGCAGCGATTGAGCTCTGATTATTGTGATATGATATACAAACGGCTTCAAAGACTGTTTTATGTATTTTTATGTATTTTTCGCGTCAGTTTCGTTACACAATTCTCATCAAAGCCACCACAATGTGCCACAGCGTAGCGGGACAGGCTACAGCTTTTTTTAAAATACCTGTCTGCTGGTTTGCCCCCCCCCCCCCCCCCAGAAACTGTATTTTTTTAGACATATGTAAGTTTTTTTTATTTAGAAATATGTGTTTATGGTTGACGGCATTACATCATCATCATCATCAACAGCCCTTAACAGTCCACTGATGGACATAGGTCTCTACTTACTATGGAGGTTTGGGCCTACTATACCACGCTGGCCAGACGGGTTCGTATAGGGTTTGTTTTACGTTTTCCTTACGCTTACCTCATATTCCGTAAGTGGTATTATACTTAAAAAGTGCCTGATGCAAAGGTTGGTCATTGCCATTAAGCGTGAGGTTATTATTATTATTATATTTGATATATAATTTTAGAACAATATAAAAAAAATGTAATTGATGAATAAATGACATATCCAAATATTTTTGAGGTTAGATACTTTTACTATATAATAAAGTTATGCATGTGCTTAACAGTCTGTAGGGATAGTAAGAATACAAATAGTTTTGAACGTACCCGCAAAAATTGTAATGTTGAATTGAAACGTGACTAAACCCGGCCATAATAAGTTACAGAAGTATTGAGTGGCAGATTTGGAAAGCAAAAAGCTGCGATAACAGCAAGGACGTCGTTTAACGTTATAGTCTAACTTCTAACGAGCTGTCATAAACTCCGTATTTACTTGACTCACCTTCTAGTGGTGTTCAAGGTGCTCAGTAAAAATGTACTGCACGAGCGTTATCGTAAAATCTTATGATACAACTCCGTTAGTGTCTAGTCTCCTGGTAAGTCTGCGGAAGGCGTCGGTATTTTAAATATATTATGTTTATGTGACTTGAAACACTTCTAAAAACTTTGATCCGTGAAATGGGTTAACAACTTGGACTAATTATTCTTTTCTTTAGTATTTTTATGATAAACAGTTTTTTACTGGCCTAGTGGTTAGTGAAGCTAGAAGTCGTAGGTTCGATTCTTATGCAGGGCCAATTATTGTGTGATAACAACAGTCATTAAATTGGTTCTTCTCCTGAATGTAATTTAAATTTCATTAATTATCAACAGTCCTTAATAGTGCACTGTTATTATGAATATATGCCTTTGCTTAGGAAGGTTTTGGCCTACTATACCGCGATGGCCAGATGGTTACACATAGGTTTTCCTTCTGTTTTCAGTGTTGTAATCTTGCAGAGTTTGCTCTCTTAGACGGCTCTCATGACACTTACAGGATGAATCAATGGAATCAATGATGAAATCAATTTTCAAAGTTAATAACAAAAATTCTCATTCACCACCAGTCAGCAAATTAATATTTCAGAATTACTAGCCGAAACTGCCAATCGCTATAAGCCACCCTTAATCGAATGAAGAAAAAAACCAGGTCTTATTAATATTGCGAAATTCTTATGCAGTGCCTGTTTTTGCCTAAAACAAAGGAACCATCTTAAAAAATCTCATCAACAAACTTCCACATCAATAAAAAGAGACTAAACAAAAAAACCAAGAGAGATTTCATGGTTGTCACTTTCCGGCGTAAGTTATTAACTTTTATACGTAGTGTCAAAGAGATGACAATAAAAATAAATTGCCTATTACGAAAGACTTTATTACAAACTAGAAATGCCTCTTCTTTTCCTACATTTCAATATTTGCCTTAAGGTTTTCGACTTCATTTTGAAAGTTAAGAAATGAATGCAAATTTTGTATTTCTAGAGCGGTTTATAGGACTATTGTAGAATAAGTAACCTCATCTACTTGGTCTTCGATCTTGACTTCTTCTACCTCTTTTTGGACCTCAGTGGTTCATGAACACGTCAGTAACAACACTGGTATTATAATTTCTCAACCTCCAATTTTGTAATCACTATCAATTCTATACACATACCTTTTAAATTATTCTGCAAGACATGGTTGCAACTTAAAAACAAAATCAAGTTCACTTCTGTTATTCGTTGAAACCAATTATTCTAAAGGCCTATTGCATTTAAGATTAATATCATGAAAATCTCAAGGTGCAATGATTCATTTTAGAGACGCCACATGTCATAGAAATCACGAAGGTAAGACTTTAAGACCTCATAGGTATGGCTACAAAGCAACGGCTTGTCCAATAGTCAGTAGGTGATAGATTATTTATTCCTCTGAGGTCAAGACATAGATACTTATATAATATATCAGCATGAATTTACATGAGCTCTTTGCTAATGATTTGGAGATTCACATAAATTGATTATATTTTAAAGAGCCTTGCCTTGTTATTTCCCTCCATAATTATCAAGATGACTAAATAAAACCACAAAATTATAAATGCAATTACACATACAAAATGCGATTTATGACTGACTATTTCAAAGTTAAGTGCGTAGTTAATATAATTAGGTCTCCTTCCAGCACATTAAAGGCTAACTGTCTCATGAATTGAGAAATATTTCTTTTACATTGTTCCAGTTTCTTTGTTCTGTATTATATATCAGAGAAGTTAGAATTCTTAAGTTGAAGCTCGACTTTAGTATACCAGAAAATTTACAACCAATCGTAAATATATCGCTACAGGAGTCAGTGTAAGCCTCCTCTGAGTAACGCTGTCGTATTGCGTAACTTATTTCAAAGTACCGGAATTGCCTTTAAATGATAGTAAAAATATTTTTAAGGTTTTCGGTTTAGAAACATTACCAAAAATCAAATCAGTCCCTAATACTGTTTAAGTTTTCTTACGATTGAGAATAAATTTAGCAAAAATTCTATTGGAAAATTTCTATATCCTACCAAGGTATCAGTGTTAGTATAAAAGTATTCTCTGTGACTTCAAGTAACTACGATAAAGTACTAAAAGAAATTAGGTCCTATTGTGACTTAGTATTGAGTTATTTACTGAACTATCTTCAGTAAATAACTCAATACTAAAACTCATCATGATTAACTGTGGATACTCTCGCCGAAAGATAATGAAATAAAATGAAATAATAATAAAAATACTAATATGTCGCGTCACTAATATAGATTGCACTATGACCACACTACTTCCTACTTCATTGTTCGTCTGTCTGTGATACTACAGAATCAGCTTTGTATCTGTAATGTGATGAAGTACTAAAATAATAAACCAAGAAAATCTACTAAGATATATCATTTTACTTACAAGAAGACCTAAACACCACACGGTGTCACATAAGAACATAACTGATTCCACAAAATCGAGAGTAACTACGGATACTCTCAAGTTTCTACTGTCTTTTTCTTAATAGAAGAGAAGATAGGAATGAGTATCTTTAGGTATACGTGACAAGGACAAAACTTTTATTGTCATTTCGTTTTAAACGCAGTGAAGGTGTTAGATAAACTAAATATTATATTAAATTTATTGTATTACTATTTTCCTTTCACTAGGTGCTTACAATGTTTTTTTTTGCCAACAGGTACAGTTAACACCCTGAAATCTCTCCACATTCACGTCCCCAAAGCAGTTCTAACGGGGCATGATGCTGAACTAACGTGTAGCTATGAACTTGAAGGAGCCCAGCTTTACTCCATACGATGGTATAGAAACATGATTGAATTCTACCGGTACGTGCCGAAGGAGTCTCCCGCCACAAAGGTTTTTCCAGTAGCTCAAATTAAAGTTGATGTAAGTAAATTTCATTTAAAAAGAAATGAAAATTTTCACTCAGTTCTTTTTATGCTACAGAAATGATTATGGAATGGTTAACATGCAAATACGTAGTGTATTTCAGTAGAGGATAACATAACTGGTACCTGAATTGTGCCTATTAATCTTGATCTGTAACTTGGATTTCATTGTGTAGTAGCAGCAGCTTCCAATCCTGGAACTGCTCATCGAGGCTCCCAAATAAATCTAATGCAATATATACACGTAGTGTTAAGTTTGATTTAAATTAGTTTTCTTGTAGATTCGTAGATGCTGTCCCTCTTTCAAGTAGCTCCTAAACCTACCTTCATGGTACGGAATGTCTATATAACGACAGTTCTAGTTTAGTATGTATTGATGTAAAAAAAATGAATAAAGGTGGTTTTTCCCTCAGGACAATCGATCTCACTGATGTATGCATTAAAAAATATATAATTTATACCGCAGCTTGTGGTATTTTGGTGTTTAAGTAAAATTGTTACAGCCATTCTATATTTTCTGTTAAAGCTTTTATAAACTATTGACGTTGTGCATGTGAGCGCGAAGCTTTAAAGTGTTGTTTTTATATTTCAGTGATTTTATTAGAAATATTTCAAACATTTATTTATTATTTGTATGTATGGAAGCTTGTTATTGCAATTTTATTAGTAAAATAAGACTTATAAAGATATTTTAAACACAATAATATGTTTATATTTAATATTGAGCTATGTAGGTATGGGTAATTTTTTGAGACTACATCGGATTTAGTTATTTATTTTACACATCATGCACATTTAATGCATTGAGCTATATTATATTTAAGAATTACTTTGTATTGGTTTAACTTATTTGTTAATAAAATAGACTGTAGTTGCTATAACCGTGGTGTAGTGTATGATGTCATAGTGAAACGACACATTAGACGCAATTGGGCTGCCACGCCGCGATTGAGGCGGGGAAGTATTTTTCCCCTGGGATAGGGGCTGATTAGGCATGGGGTCAATTCGGGGAGGAGCTGAAATTACTTGGTCCGGGTCCTCCCAGAGTTGGGCACCTGAGGCCCGCCGTCGCGGTGGTTTTTAGTGGAATCACCACACACTCCTGGCTCCTGAGTCCTATAGGAGTAGGAGATCCGAATTGATTATCCACCCAGCCAACAAAAAAAAAAGACTAGCGATCGCACAAGAATGAACAAGTAATTTTAAGTGTGTGTTTTTCTGATATGGACTCCGAAATTGAAACTGTATTAATGCCGACATTCATTTATTTTACATGATTAGTAAACATTCCGTCGATAATTTTAATTAGTGAACTTTGCACAGGAAAAGAGAAACTGAGGTAAAAAACAGTGGTCACTCTTTTGCAACTTGAAATAACCGAGAAAATATATTCATAACATCTGAAATTACTTTAGACAGACAAAAGACCAATGGAAAAAGTTCGTCTTCCCAAAAATAAAATAAAAATTGCGAGTTACAACCCCTGGTGTTGAAAGCATAGGTATATTTTTTTAGATTAATCTTTCATCGTTAGTTATCTTTACAGGTAGCAGCTTCTGATCAAAACCGGGTGGTGCTAACGGAGGTAGACCGGACTTTAACCGGAGAATATCAGTGTGAGGTGTCGGCTGATGCACCGCTGTTCCACACAGACATCAAGTCAGCAGAAATGGTGGTCGTTGGTGAGCAGGAATTCTTAATAATCTAGCAATAATCTCTTAAATATCGAGGTATTTCGAGTAAGTTTAAGGTACATAAACTTTGTTTCAATAGATATCGCTTTATTTTATTGTCACCACAAAACATACATTACGAAATTACATATATACAAGTAAATAATTCATTTTTCAACATTTTGTTTTCTGAGAAATATATATTTTTAGATTAAATGTTTTGGAAATCCAACTTTTTGGATATCAACCGTTGTACTCGACATCGAAGTGTTAGGAAATTTTACTGGCCGAAAAAATCAGTAAAATAAGTCTGTCCTACAATGCCTTAAAGTTATCTAAATAACTGGTAAAACAAATTTTCCTTTTTTTTTGGTTTAGTATCTTGGTCACCCTCTTGTATTTGAAAGATAATGTTAATGAACGGTTGGTCTTATTTGCCTAAAGAATTTTTTAGTTTAGTTTTATTTAAATACGTTTTTTAATCTAAAATTAACACCATCTCGGCTGGGCACCCCAAAATATAAACAGTCTGTTTTACAAACAGAATTAAATTATGCTGTTTACAACTGTCACTAGATTCACAGTTATAATAAAATCTACCTTGAATAGGCAAAGCTAAGAGCCTTATTTTTATAACCAGTTTCTTTTTTCTTTTTTTACACCGTGGAGCAAAGGAGTTTGATATTTCTTTAATCCTAATGAAAAATCCTCTAATTTGGAATTATTAACTGCGACTGCATGGATGGCGTACTTGTTTAAGCAGTCACCTCGTCGTTTCCTACTGTACTGAGTATTGTGGGTCGATCTTCATATTGTGTTGTTCGTTCCATGTATGTTTATAAATTACTCCTAAAATACAAGATATATTCCTTGTGCGAGAATTGTCTTTAAAAAAAAAAAGAAAAAAAGAAAGATCCCCACATAGGACAACACGTTGTGTGATTTGCAAATTTTTGTTCTTACTCTGGGCTGGTTACACACGGTATATTCTTAGTGTGGGAGCTGTCTTTTATTTAAAAAAGAAGAAAAAGATAAAGAAAATAACATGTCGCTACCCAATTTTTGCTTTTAGAAAACTGCATAGGTATACACAATACTCGTACGAATTATCACGAGAACATTTATTGTGATATACAAGACCAATAAAAGACAATAAAAACTTAATTTAACCATTTTATTTATATTGATTTTAACTATATTACCCTGCGACCCTTAGTGCACACTTATTCTCAAAGGTAATTCAAATTTTAGCCATACGTAGTTATTAAGTTTCTTAAGCTTTAAAAAGTAGATTGTTTAAACTTTTACACATTTACTCTATTTAACAAAATTCACTCTGAAGGTAGTGTAATTGTAGAGGAATAGAAAATACGAAGCGCCCGCCACATTGTTTCCGAATTATATTGTTGAAAACAATAGCAGACAGTGTTATCAGTCAAAAAGGTCGGACCGGTCACCATCTGCCAATATTCCCTCCCTTTTACGGGATCTTTCATTAGGACTGGTGAAATATTGCATATTCACAACGCAGCTGGCATTTCGTAGGTAAAAATAAATGGTCCAGTTCGATTTCATCCTGAGAGGAGATTTCCTGTTTCCACAACGGACAGGTCTAATTTTGCAATTTCAAAATTTCAGGACCAGTCCATATTTTCACAAGAGTATCCCCAAAATAATTTATTGAAACCTGTACGTATTATTACGTCTTTGTTTGAGTTCCAATTTTTTTATTCACATATCGTCCGTGTGTTTTATTTATTGTTACTGAAAATTGGAGTGAATTAAAACAATTTTCTCTGAATTGAACATTGTGACGTCATTGAAGAAGGGTTTTAAAATAAAGTTACATAACTGAATATACGTACATACATATGTTGTTACACAAGGTTTTTTAAGATTAATTGTCTAATGTGACTGCTTGGAAAAGACTAATATGAACTTTTCGGGTTCTATAGTTTAAACCTTCACTCTGCTTAGTAAGTACATATATTATTACATTGCTTGAATAAACAGACGACGACTATTATCCTAGAATGTAATAAGACTCGTAGCATTGTGATTTATCATATACTATGTAACTACATATGTACAGAATGGCACTGCTGCGAGTCTTATTACATTTTAGAATAAATTCTTAAATAATCTAATGAATTTAGAAATACCAAAGAAAGTTTATTTGCTCTTTAAGCATAAGCATGATAAATATGGTTGCCAAAAACAAATAATAAACGTTTTAAGTCTATTAAATCAAGCAGGACAAGTATGATAATGGTCATCTCATTAATGTCCCATCCACTCAGTTATATAAATTTAATTTAATTAAAATTATAAAATTTAAGTCAATTATGATTAATACAATACCCACACCCCCTGATGACTTAATTATTTTAATAATAAATAAGATCACAATAGTCATCAAAATGAAAGTTAAGTTGGCACTATTTTAACCAAATTATAATTTAAGTATGTTGGTTACCATTGAACTTTTTTTTTAATTAGTTGTACTTATTTATAGTCACGAATCATTTTCAATTCTAAACATGAACCATATACAGAGGAAACGTTGGGGTGTTGTTAACAAACTCGCGTTTAAAATAATTAAACTAATTATTAGAAGTTCACAATTTAAAACAAGGGAAGCAGTTTTATTGTATTACTGTGATTGTATTTTTTCCTGACTTATTTTTGACCATATTTTGTATAAAAACAAAAGTACACATTTATAAACAAGCTTCTACAGGCTTCATAGTTTGTAAATTAATTGGCGCATAAATACAACAGAATACTTAATTAAATATCGATCGAGAGATTACGCTTTCGCTCACACTAAGTAAGCAATTGACGTGTTCTTAATAAGTAATTTAACTTACTTGTAAGGGCAACTGTTGTACTACTAATATGTACCAAACGTATGTACCTATGTACCTAACTAAGATCACGGGTAGACAGTAGTGGTATGTGTGGGTGCCTGTCTAGATACACACACTTTCTATGTAGGGTATACCTGAGTCCCTCGCAATAAGCCAACTGGTCTCAGAATAGTGAGTATCATGGGTTTAATGCTATCATACTATGAGGTAATGACTTAGTGGGTTTCTACCCGAATTTGGGCGAGTCTATATCGTGCCAAGAGGTCCTTACAAGGTTGTATACAGATAATTCGTCCACCTGAGAATTATTTTTTAATGATTCTAACATGTTTATTCGTAGAGACGAACATAACTTTGTCGTTCTAAATATTATCTTCCTTACAAAGCGTAACAGTCAATTTTTTAACGTAAAATATAACTTTGTAGTAAGTAGAATTTGTAAAAGGCTGCTAAATTAGCTAAATTTTAAAGGGTTTTTTTCTGAGAGGATAAATGGCCTAAGTTACTCCTTATATAGACAGCTATTTGGTAGTAAAATATTATCAAAATCAGTCCAGCCGTTTAGAAGATTACTGTTAACAAACAGACAAACAGATAGACAAAAAATTTAGGCATAGGAATCCTGCAAAAAACAAGAAAGAACCTATTATTTTGACATTACAAACAGACTTCAATTTTATTTATTTTTATAGATATAGGATTTGAATTGTCAATTCTTAATTATTTCTTTTAAGGAACGAAGGTTTAGAAAGAATCGCGATAGCTTTTGTTTTAAAGGACACACTATATTTTATTAAATTAATGTAGGTTTATGTATGCATGTATTGTGTGTTTATATATTGTGTATGTCTCTGGACCTAAATTATGTTAAATTTAATATTTTATTTTGCACCTATCGCATCATATTTCTACATCACCTGAAGCTTGACTGGGACAGAATGCCTAATGGCATTAAGTCCGCCTTTGTACAACATATTGTGCATTAAGTTTAAAGTAGTTGATAAAAAATACTATACACGTTTTATTTTTATTTCTAGCAGAACCGCCATTGACAAGTCCGAATGTGACATCAGATCGCCTTTCTTATATCGGCGGTGATCACATTCGAGCAAACTGCTCATCTCCTCCTTCGCTTCCAGCTGCCAACATCACGTGGTACGTCAACGAGCAAATGGTGAGTAAGAGGCTTACGTTAAGTGGTAATACGTTATTCACTTAATCACACTCGACATTCACTCAATTATAGAACGAGTATTCTATAATTGAGTTATTCATATGAGGTATCCTGCCTAATCAACATAAACACGTTGTGCCAAATTATTATACTAATATAAAACTAAATTTTGATATGTGTACGAAACTAAGACAAGGTTTAGCAGTTGTTAATATTTTTGTTGATCTGCCTTGCCAAAATCTTCAAAAAGGGTGTCCTCCTTTTTTAAGAGTCGTCATGCCAGTCCAATGAAGTTACAAGTATGCTAAGGCTATCGAAATCGCTTACCATCAAGAGAACTGACAATTTAGCACCGCTATAAAAAGAGAAATATAATTTGATGATCGTAGCGAACTCTTACCTGTGTTGGCAGAGTATAAAAGTGCATACGTAAGGTAAATGCCAATCAGAACATTCGTTTCGCTCACAACATTTGTGACCAACGGTCGAAGCTGTTACTTTCGACGACTGTATTCCAATGTTGTCAGTACAACGAGACACTGTTCACTGAACCGAATTAATGCCTCAGTTAGTTTTACAGTACCACACAAAGTTTTATACACTCGTATCGTACGTGTACTAAGGGTAGTTAGAAATCACAAGGGTTAAAGTGATTGAAATGTATTTTAATCGATTATTGTGTCAGTTTTCCCACTTTTGAACGCACTGTAGTATTATGCACATTTTAACACACTATAATATACTTCCCCAATTGGATGGGTGTGAATTGAACCACAAATATTTTCTGTCTCATTTGTTTCCTAATCTTAATTACTAAAGAAAATATAAATAAGTACTAGGCAACTGTTCATCCCGAAGGTGTCGCAAGAGCCGACTAAGGGAGCAGACTACGTAGGATAACAGTACTGCAAAGAGGAGGAAAACTTGTCACAAACCCTGTACCAACCCGTCTGGCCAGCGTGGTATAACAGGCCGAAACCATATTTCTAAGGAGAGGCCTATGTCCAGTAAGACTGTTGATGATGATGATGATTTGTACTACAAACAAGCAAAAACTTACTAAAATAAATTCAATAACAATCCTATTTTAACATAACATATTATCATTACAAAATGTCTATTTCTATAAACTACTTAACAAAATAGTGTAAATAATTCCTTTCATAAATTTCAATTACAACATAACATAACTTGGTTATATAGTTTATTTATATTATGTATATCACATATAGATTGCCTCTCAAATAAAATCACTATCGCTTTTGATAGTTTATGTAAAACGAGGCGCTCACACGGCTATTGAACGCGTTGCGTACGATGAACGATATTTATTAGAAAACCGATACCAAAATGCTGGTGCCTTAGTTGTGATAAATATATTGTACTGAATTTGTGACGTTAATAAACATATATTACAGGTGCCTGGATTCACCGCAAACCACGTGTTAAACTTTAGTAATGGTTACGCGTCTAGTTTAGCTACTTTAGAACTGGAAGCTGCTCTGCATTCGCCAGTGCCTACGCTCATGATTCGGTAAGTATCTTATGTTAATTTCTCGTCCTTCACCTGGTATTATACCTGGTATTATTATATTGAAATATTATTAAACTTTTTGAAAGTTAAAAGTTTATGGGTAATATTATTAATTAAATATGTAAATATAAGGGAATGAACGTGATTACGTAACAGATATTACATAACTACCTTTGAAATTTTTGTCGTTTCGACTAAAATGCCTGACCAATGCCTGACCAAAATGACATACAGCCTGTGACTAAATGGTAAATAATACTTATTACTTGATCTCGTTAATTCCCGTACCTACTAATTTATTTTATTTGGATCACCAACAAGGACTACACCTTGCATACAATAATAGGTTTACAACAATAACGAGCCAATGTAAGTACTTAATTACATTCCTGTGGTCTCCATTTGTTAGCGATTACGATTGATATAGAATATATTTACTTATATATTTAAATGTATATAATTATAAAATTAAATGTATGTATCATGGAATGCGAAAGTTTAAGTAGGTGTAATTTAGTAGAAAAGATCAAATTAACCATGTTGTGCAGGAACTATACGATTCATAAACTGGATAAATTAAAAATGACAATTGATTTTACCAAATTATCCTCATTCAGTGATGTAAAAAAATCTAATCTATACAAAAAAAAAATTTGAACAATTGTAAATAAAAATTATTTTTAGTTTCAGTACTTAAATTTAAACCCGCTTGTGGCTTGGATAGTTTCTGCTCACACTGTATTATAATGTCAATTTCTTTTTTTCTTACTTAAATTATTCTTATGCCAAGCTAAAAGTCGCTGATAATTTTACGTAACTTCAAATAGGGAGCATACTTTTATAAGTACGGACTGACCGCGGCTCCCAAAACCACGTCCTTTAACGCTCAGAGGACCACTCAGCTATGCGAATAGACGGATTCATTTATGATTAACTAGCTCTTAGCCGCGCCTTTGATCGCTTTTATATACAAGTCATCAATTCAGATATACCCCGGCAAAAGAGCTTTTTGTAAATGAGAGATACCCAAAGTCCTTTTCTGTACTCTTCGGTTTAAAGATCTTTATTTCTCATTAAGACATAGTCTCCATAGAACGTGTTTACATGAGAACAATATAAGAAAAAATAGGTTATGTTTTCAATAATCTGGTGCAGGTAGTTTTAAGTTGGAAACACTCATTAAATGACTGTTGTCGAGCTCGGTATAGAGTGCACGTGATATCGAACCTCGAATCGAATAGTGACCGGTGGTACAAGTTAAAAGTAACTCTCACTGTTAACAATGTTAATAGCAGAAAAAAGTCAACTATGATTGTTTGAGTCGTTAGCGTACCGTATTAGTATTAGTATCATTTTTGTTTAAAGTCCTACCTAAAGGTTACCGACGGGCCTGTTGTTCTAGTGGTTAGTGACCCTGACTGCTAAACCGGAGGTCGTGGGTTCGATTCCTAGCCAGGATAAATATTGTGTGAAGAGCGCGGTCATTTGTTCTGTCTGGTTGTAATTTATCTATAATATGTATCTATTTAAAAATATATAAGGATGTTTATCAGCAGTCTGGTTATAATAGTACAGACTCTGCCTAGTTTGGGATCAGACGGCCGTGTGTAAGATGTGTGAGATATATACAGATATTACTTTGAGCCAAAAAACACGCCAGTTCATCATCATCATCAACAGCCTTTACAAATCCACTGCTGGACTTGGGCCTCTCCTTAGAAAGGAGGTTTTGGCCTACTATACCACTCTGACCAGGGTTAGTATAGGGTTTGTTTCAAGTTTCCCTTCTATTAGCAGTGGTGTTGTCCTGCGTAGTTTGCTTCCTTAGTTGGCTCTTACGACATCCACGGGATGAATAGGGGTGGTGACACTTTGTATTCTTAATCCATCACCACGCGGATAGTCCCGTTTATGGATCAAATAAATAAATGTATTTATGTCACACAATATACCTATCAGTTTTACGATAAATCGTTACCTAAAAAATATTTTTAATTTTAACATATATTGTTATTTTAATACAGATGTGAAGCATCAATATTTGATGTGTGGAGATCGACTAGTCATACGCTAGTACTGCGCGAGCGCAGCGCTAACCCAGCATCTGCCCTGGGTAGAAGTTTAACAGGTAATTTATTCAGTTCAAAGTAGAGTTTCAAGTAGAGGTGAATTTAGTTAGGGTTCAGAGCAATGACTTATTCGACTGCACGGAGGGCGTAGTGGTTTAAGCGGTCCCCACGCCGCTTCCTACTGCGCCGAGTGTTGTGGGTTCAAACCCCACACGGGACGACACTTTGTGTGATCCACAAATCGTTGTTCTGAGTCTGGGTGCTCTTTGTGTCCGTTTTATGTATGTTTGTAGGGTCCCCCGCGACACAGGAATGTATTCCTAATGCGGAAGTTGTCTTTAAAAAAAATAATTGAAAACTGACAAGGGATTATGCACTTTAGTTTGCATTAATTCTAATAATATGTAAAACATTCGAAAAATCCACAATGCAACCCTCCTTTAATATTGTTTATTTGAGTTTTAATAATATAGATATACACTGGGTTTTTTCTTCAAACAGAAGGTTCATTACTATCAATACCATTTCTTTATTAATAATTTTGTCTGTTCACAGGTGCAGCCACCGGAACGTGTTTACCTACCGTTATTGTGTTAATCATACAATTTTTCCTACAACTGTTACTTCAAAGGTACAGTGGGACTTCAATAAGATAGCTGTTTAAGTACTAACAGTATGTTATTTAATGAATACTTTGTACGTTTAATATATTAGTGTACATGACTCAGGGTTTGAAGCAATTGATTGGATAGGTCAAATGATAGATTTGTAATATTGTAATACACATACTAAATAAAAGTACATTCAAATAAATTAATTTTCTATTCATTAGTTGGAACACTTGAGTTTGAAATAATTAATGAATTCATTAGTAGTAATTACCTCTCTTGTGATTCTATGAGATATACATTTTATTTCCAAATTCACTTTTCAGTTTTTGTATCCAATCTACGTTACATACCATAAAGAGTTACGAAAGAAACCGTAGAGTCTTAAATAAATTAAAATACAACTTTGTAATTATGTTTACAAGAAGATAGTTTTCTTTTTTAATAAAAATATCTTAAAACAACGTCAACTTATTTGAATGCAGGTTACGTTAACACCAGAATTATTTAAATTTAAAGTGATTGAGAAGTTAAGAGGGATTAAATAGACCTTTTTGAAACTGTCCGTACAAGTTTTAGTAAAAATTAATTGAAACCTTTGTATGAATAATTTTGTATGTGTTATAGTTTTAATATCTATGTATGAGTAAGTTAAAGAATAACGTGAATTTGCAAGCTATCTTACATCCTACAATAAATTTCAATCGTTTTTAATCATTTATATCAATGATGATATTTAAGGTAAACCTGCTTACTAGTTTAGTAAGCAGGTTTTCGTAAAATATTACACCCAGACCCAGAAGAAATGATTGTGCTCGTCACACAAATATTTGTCCTGGGTGGAAATCGAAACCACAACCTCTGGCTTAGCAGCCAAGATCACAGACCGCTACCAACAGACTAATTAATTAATACTTTACCCGCAGAGGTTCAAAAGTTTGTGAAATCAACATTTGATATACGACCCCGTGTTGAAATTGAGTGTGGAAATATTATTAGAAATGTTCAGATGTTTATAATTTCTATCTCATTAATTTAGAAAATATATTGTTAACATAGACTGATTATATAGAATAATTTGTGTAAATAATATTAATTAATTATTGTTTGTAAATATTTACAAACTAAATAATGTTCGTATTTAATAATGATAATGTTAATATTTCTAATTAAATAAGTGTTAGTCCAATTTATTGTAGCCGGAATGAGAAATAATTTGATGTTGTATTTTATTTGTATTAATTTTAATTCAATGTTTAATTTGGATTGTGTTTTTAAAGATAAATTTCAAGCAATCTATCAATTAATTAGTCTCTAGAAGTTCTCTATTAGACAAATGTAAGTCTCTCTAAAAGTACTCGGATCAAAGTACTCAAGCCTTCGTCTTCGGCATCCAGTCCCTCATAGCTACCTACTTCCGCACGTAAGTAAATTTGGCTAAAGGATGTCCTATATTCTTCTCTTTTACTCTTTTTCTTCAACAGCCGTCGGTCTTTCAACAGTCCTGACTACACCAAGATAGCCTCAGTCAAACCTAGTGCTCGTCGAGTTATGACACATATATAATTTGTGAATTGTATTTTTAAAAACACAATGAATAGTTTATTTGTGATTTTTATTTAAAACTTATGATTTCATACGAGTTATTTAATTTATTAAAGAGTAGATACAAGGCTGTGTTTAACAAATCGAGCTATTATTGTTATTTGAACTAGTTAATTTAGTTTGCTATACTTTAGAATTGATGGTGCATTTGTATTATAGTATTAAAGAAACCTGTTATAAAATGTGAATTAATATAAATCATGTGTATATATCTGTTAAGTATAATAAGAATAAAATGTTCATACAACAAGGGATATCGCGTCTTTAAATATGATTTTTAATCAAAATGACCGAAGTGTTTGGTAGACTGGCTTAGTCCCGCAATGTTCTACAGTCTTAATGTATATGTTCATAATACTATCAAGATAATCATCATTAAAAATATTAATACGGCAATTAATGCGGTATATAGGCATTCCATACCTTTGAAACGTCCGAAGTTTCGAACAGGTTGCAATGAGAACTCACAGAACGACTGACTCAGAAGTGCACGCTTTCATCATCTACCAACACATTTTCGATACTTTTAATATTTAGTTTTATTTAACCATCCTGTAAATTTCATAACCCTCGTATTAATTTAGGTATCCCGTATATTTATAAGTTTCAATCAAACTAAAAGTTTAGAATTCAGTATTATCATGATCACTTTTTGGTATTGTGTGGTTGTTCATTTAATCAAACTCATCGTATTTCGTAGATATGGCTATTTAATTTTCTAATGTAATAATTTACGCATGCAGTGTTTTCTTTTGTGATTTTTCAGAATTATATATCTCAGTTGATGGATACTCATTCACGCCATTGCCCACTTAAGTTCTGCTCACTTTAGAGACAGTTTTCAAAAGGCAAATCTTAAATTTATTCAGTTTTATAACAATCGACTCCTTTTCGTTAGCACCTCATAATTATTTGAGTTATAAAACCTTTAGCAGTAGAAACTTTCTTAATGCGTAATTAAGAAAGTTTCAAAGTTTTCAAGAACTTTGGATGTATCGAATAACTGATGCGAATAACGTAAAAATAAATTTATGATAATAACAAATGACAATCGTAAACTCATTAAAAAGCAAAATAAAAAATGATGTAAAACATAATATATTTGAAAGTTACCCCATAGTTTGGACGACAAGGCTGTATTTGACGGCACCCTTAGAAATCATAGTTCGTAAGCAGGAAATACCAGGCTCTGTGAGGCTTCGAATATTTAGTCTAAAGCTTCTTTGCTTTTACGCAAACAGTTTTGAGCACCTGATTCTTTTCATGGCTGTCTTATAAGTTTGAATAACACAAGTTACCCTAATTCAACATAATGGAAGCAGGCTTTCAGGTCGTGATATTTCTTATTTAATATTCTTGATAGCAAAATTAGGTACACAATGAGAAAAAACACCTATTAATAGAAAGCGCAATGCATTTTTTTTAAAGACTATTCCTACGATATTAATTTATCCTGTGTCGCGAAGGACTTTACAAACTTGCATGAAACGTACACAAAGTACACCCAGATTCAGAACAACAATTTATGGTTTCATACAAAGTGTAGTCCGGTGGGGGGTTGAACCCACAACACTCAGCGCAGTAGTAAGTGGTAAGATGACCGCTTAAACTAATACACCATCCGTGTAGTCAAAAATATATGTTTTAATATGAATTTATAAATTAATCAGTTTAAGACATGGACGAATTACAACTTTATATTGTTGTACACACAACTTTAATTTTGTTAGTGTAGACAAAAGTGCATATGTGTATGTTTTTTTTGTGTCTCCTAAGCAGAGTGAGTTGTTTTGGAACCACAAAGCTCTAAATGCAAAAGCTCCCAACGTTTGTAAACTATTATAATACCAAAATGTTAGGTTTTTACACATACATATTAATAATACATTTTTATCCCACTTCCATGTTTATGATTGAAATTTAAAAGAGTTGCCCTACATTTTAATCTACAATATATTCACCTATTTGTGCATTAATTGAAAAATAATTATAGTTAATAATGTATTTATAAAATAAACTGGAGTCTAAAAAAATAAAGAAGTAATAATTGTCTTCTTGTCTTTTCTTTACCCGACCTTGAGTTGTGATATCTACTTATCAGATTTTTTTAAGGAGAACTCCCGCACTAGGAATACATCCAGTGTTGCGGAGGACTTTAGAAACATACATGAAACGGACACAAAGAACACCCAAACTTAGAACGACTATTTCTGGAACACATAAAGTGTCGTTTCATGTGGGGATCGAACCTTGACGTGAGGAGACGACTGCTTAAATCACTACGCACAAACTATGCTAAGCATAGCATACTGAATAAAGATATGTTAAACAAAACACCATAGCACATAAGTACAATATTAATCCAGCTGCAGTCTGTTAAATATTTGACAACTTATTTTCAGAAGATATGATAGTACAGTGATGTTAAAACAAACAAGAGCCAATAAGAACAAATAAGAGCTATGCTTCGAAATACATATATTTATTTTATAAATTATTCTTTCGTTGTTTTTGACGGGCCTGTTGGTCTAGTGGCTAGTGACCCTGACTGCTAAGCCGGAGGTCATGGGTTCGATTCTCACCCAGGACAAATAATTGTGTGATAAGCACGGTGATTTGTCGTGTGTCTGGGTGTAATTTATCTACATTATATATGTATTTAGAAATTATAAGTATGTTTATCAGTGGTCTGGTTACCATAGCACAGGTTATGCCTAGTTTGGAATCAGACTGCAGTGTGTGTGATGTGTAAAGTTATTATTATTTTTCACCGAGCTAGTGTGGTTACCGAAACCCAACCTAACCCCTATCCCTGATTCTGGAGGAAGGTACTAAAGGGCGGGAACGTACTTGACCATTGAGTTGCAGGTACCATAAAATAAAGATACCGTTACGGGACATGGCCATTACGTGTTCTTGGAGTAGTGACTCCTACAATCACAAGACCGACAAAAGAGTACGCAATTTCGGCTTCTTCAAGCTCATGTAGTCTCAGTCCCGTTTCCCTATCTCATACTTACGATACTCAATATCCCAGGACCATCGGCCCATCCGTTTTTCTTAATCCATATTCCCAAGCAGAGTAGGCGTCACTTAGGTGACTGGAAATAAAATAAATCACCCAAAATCCTTATACATTAGGCCGACTCTAAATAACATTGGGCAAAGACGAGGATAATGATAATTAAAAATTGTAGAATATAAACTATACCCAACACTAGCATAGTAATCATCAGACTGGAATTTATATTTAGATAGTTCGTAATCCTAAATTTATGTCCTATTAAAAAGTTATTATTGTTTGTTATTTAATAAGTCTAGTGTAGAGGCAAAACAATTTTACATAACACACATTCACATGAATTCATACAACTAATTCCTATGAATACTGGCCTGGTCTAACTTAGTAGATGATGGTGATACTATCTAGCTAGCTAGTTAGA